ATGTAGTCCTCCTCTTCGGTGACCTCCGCCCCGGCCTTGACGCAGGCCGCCTCCGCCGCCTGGGCGTCCTCCAGGCAGTCGTAGACGTAGATGTTTCGAAGCGGAACCACCTGGTGGGGGTTCTTGGGCCAGACTTCAACCACGGCAAAGGTCAGCACCTTCTCCACCAAATGGTAGGACTTCCAAATGCTGGCCGGGTGGAAGAGGACGTGCGGGAGGTTGAGGTGAAACTCCACCGCTCGGAGGGCTCGGTGCAGCACCGGAAGTACCGCCTCCGGGGGCGCCTGACAGGAGTGGCCTGGGCCTGGGTCGTCGTCGGTCAGTCGGGTGAAGACAGTGGCGCAGAAGACCGCCACAAAGAAGGGCATCTGCTGGTGGAAGGTACCCGGGTGGAGTTTTCGCACAAAGCGGGCGATTATATCGCCCACCGGATCGAGGTTCAGATGCTGCTGCGGCTGCTGCTGCTGGAAGGTGACCGCCGCCAGGAGCTCCTCAATCCACGACTGAAGTTGGTTTAGAGATTTGAGCCGGGCCGGATTCGGCTGAGGTGGCTTCACTTGCTGGTGGTTTTGCTGGGGCTGCTTCAGGCCCTCAGGCAAGATCGAATCGGCGGGGTACTCCATTTTTTGAGGGGAGTGATTAGAGTGGGACTTTGAAATACGGGGGTTCGAGGCAAATGCGGTAGATTTGTTTTGCTGTGAAATACGAGCCGATTGAAAGGCGAGTTTGGCTGGCTGGTCTGCAGAGAAGTCTGGTTCTATGAAGAAGAGAAAAGAGGTGATTAGAATACAAAGTGGTCGAGTTATTATTTTACTGACTGTTATTATTGATACTGTAAACAAGAGGGCTGCTTGAAAGTTTTACCGCTGGGGTTAAACGTTGTGCTGCTGTGTCCGACAGTGGCTAGTTGCAGAGGCTACTTGAGGCTATCTTTGCGACTTTTGAAGTAAAGCTGCTGCTGTTTGAAATAAGAGAACAAGATCAGTTGTGATTAGTCGAAAAGAAAAACAAGGCGGTATGGTTTTAATTAGCAGTTAGCCGTTAGCACAAGGTGCGATTGTTGCCATTATTGGCTAATGGCTTTATCACAATGAAAGATTACTTTTTTGATGAAAAATACCACGTTNGGCTATCTTCGCGACTTTTGAGGTAAAGCTGCCGCCCTTTTGAAATAAGAGAACAAGATCAGTTGTGATTAGTCGAAAAGAAAAACAAGGCGGTATGGTTTTAATTAGCAGTTAGCAGTTAGCACAAGGTGCGATTGTTGCCACTATTGGCAGATGGCTTTATCACAATGAAAGATTACTTTTTTGATGAAAGATACCACGTCNATTAGCAGTTAGCCGTTAGCACAAGGTGCGATTGTTGCCATTATTGGCTAATGGCTTTATCACAATGAAAGATTACTTTTTTGATGAAAAATACCACGTTTACCTACACTGTTGCTGTGTGGCGTTGTGAACCGAAGCTAAGAATGGCCAAGGCTACTTAGGCTCGGGGTGTGTGTGTGTGTGTGTGTTTGTTTGGCAACCGGAGCTCGGGGAGCACACCAAGCAGGCAAGCAAGCGGGCGTCTCACCGCGACTCGGCCCTGGGTTCTCCAAAGGGGGGTAAACTGATTGAGAGTGATTGCGAGTGAATGCGAGTGATGACGATCTGTGGGGCTACAGGTCACACCGACCGGGGCAATCTGATCGGGACTGCTTCGGGTCTTCTCGAGATCGGGGCTTCCAACTGATTGCTGATCGCTGAAAACTGATCCGCTGACGCAAGCAAGCAAGCAAGCAAGCAAGCTAGACGACGTAGCATCTGCCTCTGCTTGGAGGGGACAATCATCACACTGTCGCAGCGAGCGGCAGCCTGCTCTGTTTACAATGACTGCCCGCATGGGGGCGCTCGCCGCGGATAGAACAATCTGGAAGGTATTTACCAGATTGGCCGCTAGTCGGCTAGGCTAGATATTTGGGAATGGTGGCTAGATAGAGTAAATAGGGCCGGAAATAGGGCCAATATTAATAATAATAATAGAGAACGAATAAGAGTTTATGAATGTCCCCGTTAATGCAACACTGCTGCTTTGGTTCAGTTAGTCATGGCACACTGTCTGGGGAGGTCATTAGCAAAACATAAACAATCCGCTGTGGTTAGTCAATCAACAGGCACAAATCGGGGCAGCTCATTAGTCATTTTGGTAACAATAACACACACATTCTAAACTGAGTCACTAGTCAGTGATACCTGGTAAACAGCACCTCACCTGAGAACTCCTCAAAGACACAAGTACAGACACAAGTCATTACTTACCGTACTTCGGTGATGACACCAGTGCAAAGGCTTCAGCAGCTGGCAAACAAGCAACAGGCACTACTAGCACTTGATAAGCAAGAACTCCCTAAAGCCGAGGTTGTAGAGTCAGAATTGCAAAGCGGTTCAGAGTCAAGCAATGACAGGGCAGGGCAGTGAAGAACAATAGAAGGAAGAGGAAAAGAGATGAGCGGAAAAGAGGGCTCAAAGCGGTGGAAACAGCGGCGATGTGAGGCACGCTGGATGCTGCTGCTGGAACTGGTGCTGCCGCCACTGCCACTGCTGCCAAAGAAAGAGAGAGAGAGAGAGAGAGAGCGAGCGACTTAGAAGGGAGACATTGCGTAAAAAGAGCTCAGCGCTGTGCACGATCAAATCGGACATTCTGTCAGTTTGCAGAGAATGGACAGTTAAGCGTCAGCTCCAGACGTAGTAATGGCAACACCACAACAGCAAAAAAATTTTTTACAATCAACGTTACGTGCAACCAAAGTGATTATAGCCGACTTGTAACTTTGGCAGTGCAAAAGCTGTGGTGGTGCGCACAGTAAACAGTGCCGATAGAACAACTGGCGCTCACGAGCCAAAGTCCATTCCCTGCTGTCAATTCAGGGCACTTTGGGCACTTTTCCTCCCAGTAGACTGGGAAAGATTGCGGGAAAACTGCTGCTTTGTTGGTATTTTGATGGAGTCTCTATTTATTCCTGGTGATCGGAATGGAAAAACAGACATTCAAATAAAAAACTGCCAACTGTAACTTTATTGCATCCAGCATTTGGAATTAACTCTTGAAAGTCTCAAATTTGCCTACACACACACACAGTCTAACCCTAACGAGGACACATCGCATGTCGTCCACCATCGACGGGCAGGCAGGCGCCGGTGATAAAGCTGGCCGCCGGCGAGGCGAGAAAGGTGATCGCTCCCGCCACCTCGTCCACCTCTCCCGGGCGTCCCAGGGCGTGCGTCTGCTTGGAGCGCTCGAGGAAGGCGGCAAACTGCTCATCAGTGAGGCCGGACTTCTTCTGAATGCCCGTGGTGATGACGCCCGGATTCACCGCATTCACGCGGACGCCCTTGGGCGCCAGCTCTACGGCGGTGCAGGCGGTCAGCTGATCCAGCGCCGACTTGGAGACGCAGTACGCGAGCACGCCCGGAAAGGAGCGCAGCCCATTCACCGAGCTGACGTTGACGATGTTTCCTATCAGGAGAAAAATGGGAAAAGAAAAGTTTTTAGTATCACAGTAAAGACTTATCAAGCACTACCTTTTCACTTACCTTTACTGGCAATCAGGCTGGGCACCGTCAGCATCATCAGCTGATAGATGGACCGTACATTGGTGTTCATCACGCGGTCGTACTGCGCCAGGTCGGTGCTTTCAATGGAGCCCATCTCGAGGATGCCCGCGTTGTTCACCAGCACATCGAGTTGACCGTTGAAGGCGGCCAGCGTCTCCTTGACCAGTCGCTCCACATCGGCCTCCACGGTCACATCGACCACCGATTGGTGAAATCGCTGACCGGGCTCTGACCGCTGCCGCTCCAGTTGGGCGACGGTTTCCGCGAGAGCCGCTGCGTTTCGGCCGCAAATCGACAGATGCGCGCCAAGACGGGCAAAGTGGACGGCCACCTCGCGGCCGATGCCCGAGCTGGCCCCAGTGACCAGGACTACTTTTGAGAGGAAGGTGGAGGTCATTTTTTCTGTTCTGCTTTTGGATGATGAAGGTTTGTTGATTGAAGCAAAGTGTGGTAAAGTGTGGTCTGGAGTAATCTGTGAGACGAAAAGAGACGAAAATTGTAGTCAGTTATAAGTGGAGTGAAATAGGTTTTGCGGATTGGGAGAGCTGTTTATATGCCTGTTTTCTGGTTACGTTTGGTACCAGAAATGACTATGCTTTTAGTTGATTGTAAGCAGTGGACAGTGTGCTGAAAAATAGTGCTGATAAAATGTACTGAAGATGTGTAGACAGTCGACAGACAGTGAAGCAGAGAGAAAAGCGTGGTTACCTCGAGAAGCTGCAACTTCAACTTCAACTGAAGCAGTACTAGTGAACTAGTGTGAGTCGATGGAGTCAAAAGTGAGAAGAAGTAGTGGCTATCCTCTCCAGTTGATGACATTGACAATGTGACAATGTGCGGCAGTGTGTAGCAACGACAATGAGGGTGGTGGTCACGATGAGATGATGATACCACCGCCACTACCACCGCCGCCGCTGATGCCCCTCACCATGACCACCAATAAAGCGTTATCATCAAACAGAAGTACTTACTCTTCTTCTTTTTTTCTTCGTCTGTTTCAGTGGGTTGCACACCAGTCGTTGTCACCACCAACAAACGAAAAAAGTATAAGAGAAAGTAGGGGAGAAAGTGATAAGAAGTAGCAGCAGTAGCCAAATCACGCCACCGAGTGTTTACTTTTCGCTGCACCCTCTCATTCCCTGTACTACAAGCGAAGAAAGTGAGGGGGAAAACGTGGCGGTGGCGGCCTCTAGTGACTCAAATGTAAACTGTTTATCGGTAAAACTTTCTGAAAGCCCATCTACAGCAGCAGCAGCAGCAGCAGCAGCAGCAGATTTTCCATAATGTAAACACTCTGATTACCGACTTTTGTTTATACTTTGACTGGAAGATCCAGTGATGATCCAGTTCCTAGTCTGCACACAGAATCTTTTTACCCTTTTCAGATGGTGATTTANAGATTTTCCATAATGTAAACACTCTGATTACCGACTTTTGTTTATACTTTGACTGGAAGATCCAGTGATGATCCAGTTCCTAGTCTGTATACAGAATCTTTTCCCCTTTTCAGATGGTGATTTATGAATTGTTATGATTTCCAGCTTGCTCTCTCTCTCGCCTATGTTCTCGCCTTTTCTCCACTTTTCTATTTGCACAGCAGCCGACGCCGCTTGGTGGCTGTTGTCACTGCGTCTGCTGCTGCTGCTGCTGCTGCTGCTGCTGAAGAGAACAGATTGAGTGTTGTGTTCTGCGTGTGTCTGCCTGTCTGTGTGTTTGTTGTTTACTGCAGCTGTGGTGAGCGAAAAAAAATTATCTTATTATCCTGAAGGTTCCGTTAGCTTTACCCCGCAGACAGTGAAATGGAACGCTATGTGTCAAACGGTTTACCACTACCACCACCTACCTGAGGTACTGCTACTGCTGCCACTTCACGTTTGTTTAACAGCTATATTTGCTCTTTTTCATTTGCCTTACTATTTACCTTCTAGTTTTACCTAACTTAATCCCCAGCTCAATTGATCTTCTCACCACTTACCACAACTTTGCGTGATCATCATCTCACCCACTTTCCGACACTCGTGCTTTCCGCTAAAGTCTTCTTCTTCTTCTTCTTTGCTTCAATTTCTAACGTCTTCTTCTTCTTCATCTTCTTCTCCTTCATTTTTTAAATTGTGCCCTCTCACGCTATAATCTTCGATCCAACTGCGGCGACGACGGCAGTAATGGTCGCCGCAGTTGCCCTCTTCTGTACGGTCTCTTGTGGTTTATTGATTTTGCCAAAAGTACAGGTTCAACTAGGTAAATTTTTGAGTAGCGGAACGTAACGGAATTTCTTTTCCAGCTATTACTTCTTGTCAGCTTTTGACAAATGTTCTTATTATTTCACTTTCTTTTTTTACCTACTCCTGACGTTTTTTACAAATGTTTTTCGCTTTTACTTTCAGGAAAAACTAGTACTGCTGGTGATTCACCACATCATTAGCACTTGATCATCGACTTTTTATGTTAGAAAATTCAACCAAAAAAGTCTTCATTTGTTTGGTGGTGATAGTCTTTGTGGCTGCGTAGGCAACGGCAACGGGTTCAACTCTACACTAAAACCAACAACATCAACAACAACTGCAAAACAACGGCGGAAAATAGAATTGAAAAGGTAGGCAGCACGGACATTTGTGTTTGTCTTTTTTGAGCTAAATTCTCTTTCTCTCTCTTTGCCTCATTTTTCGCTGTCTCACCTTCTTTTCCTTTTTGTTTTCTTCACGATAGTTCGTGTGTGTGTCATTAGTCATAGTGCAATTGTTTTGTACAGGTACACGCACAAAACTGCGTTGGCTAATGGTTTGACGGATTTTCCTAATGGTTCAGCAGAGAGAACAGACAGTTCAACAGCAATTCTGATCCGCAGAACTTTTGAGAGCGTTTTTGAGCAAAAAGACTTAAACTTTAAAGTAAACTTGCTGAGCAGTAGTGTTGGAGAATTTTCAGAACGAGTGTAATGAGTGAATTATTATATTTCTTGCAAAAGGTAAAGTCTGTTTGAACTGGTTTAAGTGGTGCATTTTAAGCCAATATTATTGACAAAACAAAACCGCTACCTTACTTACATCCGGCGGCGGCAGCATAGACCACATAGTCATCAGTCATTTTGTTTGCTGTCACCTGTGTCTTATGTACTGTAAAGTACCTTAGGAAAAAAATGCCTTTGAATACAAATCAATTTTATTTGTGTTAGAAGGCAGGGAGAGCATGTGCTGATAGATAACTTTATTCAACTAAAACTAGTGAATAACTAACTCACTACAGTGATATATGCCACTCTAATTAGAGTGGGAGAGCAATACTTGCAAGTTCTAAAATCACAGAGGTTCTAAAACCTAACAATTTAACTAAAATTTAAAGTTTTGAAAACGCAAAAGATTATGTTTTTTAATTGTCAAAGGTTAAATGGTGGCAACACTTTGTACAAAAATTAAAAAGTCAGTCATCCCAACAATTTAAAATCTCTATTGTTTAGAGTACTTTTTTAAACATTGACTTTTTCTTCTCTTACTTTTACAATTTTGTTTTGCCCTCACGCAATCAATTCGTTTCTTTTAATTAGTTTAGTTAAGCAATTAATAATAGCAATTAATAATAATTATTAATACCAGCACTTTGCTCGCTCATTACCGTTTTGTTGTACAGTTCTTTTGTAAACAGAACACCTATTTATCAGTTTCTTTCTTTCTATCTTTTCTTTTCCTTTTTCTCTTTCTCTCTTTCATTTTTCATTTCAATCCATAAATACACTCACGCACTCACTCTCTTGTTTTCTTTATATCATCTTAATTACTCGTCTCTCTCTCTCTCTTTCTCTCTTTCTACTGTACAGCAATTTAAACCCATTGTACGGCAAACAAACAGACCATCGATACTCTATTTCTTGGCGGTTTCTAAGGCGGTCGTCATGAGCAAACAAAAGAGGAAGGAGAAAGCTGAGAAAAGAGGAATGAGCAGTAGCTTGCAGACGGTTTGCAGTGTGCGAAAGTCATTAGTTTTTACCTGCAGTTGACATTTGTCTTTAGTCAGGTGTACTCTCAAATTGAAAGAGAGAGAGAGAGAGTTGGCTGTTAATAACTCAGTTCACTTTAGTAGCTAGGTAGATTTCAGGTAGAGCAGGCACGCAGTTTCCTAATTAGACAAGCTTAATAAATAGACGCTAATTTTTCACCTTTTTTTTCTTCTTTTAGTCGTAGACGCTTACAGAAGACGGTTACTCATTAAGCGGCGAGCACTGTCCCGTAGTCGTAGAAGTTTGGCGGCAAAACTCAGGAATCACCCCATCATCCCATCACCCTCATCACCCTCATCACCTTCATCACCACTTCATCACCCCCATCATCCCCATCATCAACACTACTAAGTCATCATTGAACCCCTTTTAGTCATTTGCTAATCAACACCACCGAATCAGAAATATAGAATTCACCCCCTGGTAGCCCACATCACCGGCATCACCATTATCAACCTCACCGACAACGCCACCCTTATCATCATCATCGTCATCCTCATCGCCAAGGCCATCAGCTCGCTGTGGTCCACATCATCATCATCATCACCCTCATCACAGCACCTGTCACCCTCAGCACCAGCACTTCGATTATCATCGTCATCATCACCCTCATCACCCACACCCTCGCCACCATCGACACTATCACTGCTGAAAATGCCCTCAAATCACTTTCGCCAGCAGCTGGCAAAGAAGAAGCTGCAAAAGGAGCAGCGAAACTTGGCCAAGGCAAAGAGTCCCAGCGCTCAGCAGCTGCTGAAGGAAAAGGAGGAACGGGAACGCCTGAAGGCGGCTAAAAAGAGCGAAGAGGAACGGATTCTCTCTTTTGGGTTCAAAAACGTTCCAAAAGCTTCTGTTGTTTCAAATGCCGCCGTCAACGGTAACAGTCAAAAGCTGGAACAGGGTGAAAACGGTAATGAAGGTAATAAAAATGACGATGAGAAAGAGAATAATTTCAAACAGGACAAAAATGAAAAGAATGAAAAAGTTGAGAAAGAAAAAGTGAAAATGAACAATGAAACTCGCAGAGAAAGCGGTGGTGGTGGTGGTGATGGCAAACAAAAGTCTAACAACACCTCAAATCATGCTCGTGCTGAAGAACCTCTGTACAATCTCTATAACCTGGCCAACTCACCGACTAGTCATCACCAGCTAAAAGTGGATCCTGAACCACGTAAGCTTTGTTATCAATTTTGTTTCTGTTTCTATCAACTTATCACCACCATCACTTTTTCTTTCAAACAGGTGCCATTGACGTTTCAGGCCTGAAAGGCATCGTCAACCTGGGAAACACCTGCTTCATCAACGCCGCCCTGCAGGCTCTGGCCCACATCACTCCACTGCGAATGTACTTCATTCGAACGTACTTTCGACGACTTCGAAACTCGGCCGAGGTCTCTGCTGACGCC